GCTTCCAGCCTCGCCTTCGCGCTGCCTCCTCGTACCACCTCCTCTCGGCTTTGGCTGCCTCCAGCTCTTCACGAGGGAGGCGATATTCTCCCGGTTGTGCCCAAGGATCCTTTCCGTCCAATAACTCTTCCCATGTCCCGACCTTAGGAGGCGTCCATAACTCCTGTGTAGGTAGGTCCTGTTGCCGCTTGTTACGCTGCTTGGTCCTTTTGTGGTGGGTTATTCTGTCACGATCGTCTGAAGGAGCGGACCAATGCGCAGCGTTGCGAGTGAACATGATGACTTTATTAATTAAAGCAACCACGAAGAAAACAACAAATGACGATACGTGAAGTTCAAAATACTGAAACACACTAACAGCAACACAGAAACAATAACCCACAAAACAAAGGAGAAAACACACAGAATATATATGGCTCCCAATCAGAGATAACGAGCCGACAGCTGACACTCGTTACCTCCGATTGGGAGTCACAGACCAATCACCATAGACACAAACAAAATGAAACTCACCCATCCCCAACACCACCAAATGAAATACACCCAAACACATGAAAATGAACAACCCTGGCTCAATTCTCAAAGTCCATAGAGCCAGAGTGTCACAAGTAGCTGACGTGTATAGTGTTGAGTCATCCGCATATATAGACATACTTTACTCAAAGCCAGTGGCATATCGTTAGTAAAGATTGAAAAAAGTAAGGGGCCTAGACAGCTGCCCTGTCCTTATTCTACCTGGATTATGTTGGAGAGGCTTCCATTAAAGAACACCCTCTGTGTTCTGTTTTACAGGTAACTCTTTATCCACAATATAGCAGGGGATGTAAAGCCATAACACATACGTTTTTCCAGCAGCAGACTATGATTGATAATGTCAAAAGCTGCACTGAAGTCTAACAAAACAGCCCCACAATCTTTTTATCATCAATTTCTCTCAGCCAATCATCAGTCATTTGTGTAAGTGCCGTGCTTGTCGAATGTCCTTCCCTATAAGTGTGCTGAAAGTCTGTTGTCAATTTGTTTACAGTAAAATAGCATTGTATCTGGTCAAACACAATTTTTTCCAAAACTTTTCTAAGGGTTGGTAACAGGATGATTGGTTGGCTATTTGAGCCAGTAAAAGGGGCTTTACTATTCTTGGGTAGTGGAATTACTTTTGCTTCCTTCCAGTCCTGAGGGCACACACTTTCTAGTAGGCTTAGATTGAAGATATGGCAAATAGAAGTGGCAATATCGTCTGCTATTATCCTCGACAATTTTCCATCAAAGTTGTCAGACCCCGGTGGCTTGTCATTGATGATAGACAAAAATAATGTTTTCACCTCTTCCACACTCACTTTGCGGAATTCAAAATTACAGTGGCTTGTCTTTCATAATTTGATCAGTTATACTTGGATGTGTAGTGTCAGCATTTGTTGCTGGCATGTCATGCCTAAGTTTGTTAATCTTGCCAATGAAAAAAGCATTAAAATAATTGGCAATATCAGTGGGTTTTGTGATGAATGAGCCATCTGATTCAATGAATGATGCAGCTGAGTTTGAATTTTTGCCCAAAATGTAATTTAAGGTTCTCCAAAGCTTTTTACTATCATTCTTTATATCATTTATCTTTGTTTTATAGTATAGTTTCTTCTTATTTTTATTCAGTTTAGTCACAGTACGTTTGCCAATCGTTTGTGCAGCCAGACTTATTTGCCACTCCTTTTGCCTCATCCCTCTCAACCTATACATTTTTCAATTCCTCTTCAACCCACAGGGATTTAATGACATAACCAATGTTAATGACATAACCAATGTTTCTATAGTAATATAGTAATCCAGTGCGAATAGGGTTTAGTGATTTTTATATAGAATCACAGGGAGGATGACCCTTAATGAATCCTCCCCCTTTTCATGTATCTCAGCCCATAGTTTTCCAGGCTCCGGTAGCTGGCTGACACCAGGGCCCTATCTCTCCAGCACTGTATTTCTGTCAATTCGTCTTTGAGTGTGTTTACTCTCAAACCACTGTGCAAATGACTCTCCCTGGTCCCCCAGGTGACTCTCCCTGGTCCCCCCAGCCTCCAGAAGAGAGCGACGCCTCATCTTCACAGTCCCCAGTCAATGATAACACAGCTGCGGGCATGGTAGACCCTGTCCTTAGCCTCGAATGTAAATATTTGTTATCTCCTGCAAACTAGAGTGGGCTATTTCACCCCTGTTTGGAAAACAAACCTATTATAACAATGATTTGCTTCAGCGGAGGGAGGGTCGTTTTACTGAAGGTTTTGTATGTGTACATTTTTGTCATTCTGGAAAGGAGTTTTTTTATTCCGAAATGATCTGGACTTATGCTGTGTCTTTGGGCCATAGTGGGTTTTTAAGCAAATCACAGACTGTTCATTGATCACATTTCCTGAATGAACCTTAGAATAACTTCAGATCACATGATGATAATCACAAATTGTAGCAGGAATTATATATAGTCAGAAAACTTTAGGCTGATCATTGCCAGCATTAGATGTAAACATGGCATGAGTATTGCACTTGACATCCAAACGTGGACAAACGTTTTATTTTTTGTTTTTCTTATACAAAAATGAGTCATGTTCACCTGGTGAAATGTTGCTAGGGCATCTGCATGGCTTGTGAAACAAATGGTGGGCAATTAAATCCCCTGACCCTTCCAATCTCCCTGTCACCTGTGACACATGACAAATTAGTGCCCACCGTCGAGAGGGGGGCCCAGGTGGGATGCTGCTCACCTGATTGCTAGGGTGACCTACTGGGTTGCAGTTTTCAGCAGCCATGGCTGTGTCGTGTCTGCATCATGAAGATGGGTGCACCATCAGACCATTAGCAGGTGGGCACACAAATACACACAGCTCTCCGGGGCTAATTAGCTAGGGACACTATCTGCATCCACAGCTCTATCTGGACCATCAAAGGAAACATTTTACTTTTAACTTTTGTATGACAAGGTGCAGCAGAAATGAAAAATTCACATGAGGAAAAAAGGCCCAGCTCTTGAGTTGAGAGAGTGAGAGCTGCTTTATTTTCCTCAAGAGCTGCTCCTATTTTCCTCATGTCTCTCCCAATGGATGAAATCAATCACATGATACTTATTGAGAGTGTGACCTTTGACCTTGAGAGTACCACCCCTGTTAATTAGGAAGCAATTGAGAGCCTCTCTCCTCTCCAAATTGAGTGGGTTTGTGGGATAGGTATTTGAACTGGTGAACCTCATTACTATGGATGATGTCTGAGATCTCTACCTACAGCTTTTTTACCATAATGCATCCCCACATCATCCCAACTCTGCACTGAGGAGAAGAGTGGAAGGGTGGTGGAGATGTCGATTCTCCAAGTGCGAGAATAGAGTTCTGATTTTTATTTGGTTGACATGGCTTGGTTTATATGTGTGTTTGTGTGTGTGTGAGAGAGAGAGCGAGCGAGCGAGAGAGAGAAAGGGTTGAGAAAAAGGGAGAGAAGGGGAGAGAGAAAGAGAGAGAATGGGAGCGAGAAAGGGGGAGAGAGAGAGAGAAAGGGATTATGCCTATAGTTGTGTATAGTTGTTTTAACCATTATCTCTTATCAAACTGTACATATTCTAATAGCCATATTCCAATGGGGATATATTCAGTTACGTCTCTTTGGATGATGACTCATTTCAGTCCTCCTAAAACAATAGTCTGGGGAAATAAGATACCTCACCACTGCTGACCTCATAAAACCAATGGATGATTTTCTTTAGTAAACAGACACTCAATACTGGCTAATATTTTGAAATACTCTCGATTGGAATTGTGCCTTCTCAATGGCGTAATGATGTTTACCTAGGTCTGTGTTAAAAGCTGAAACTCGATACGTGCGCAAAGACAGGAGAAAGGTGATGTTCGTTCATAAGGGGCAATAAAAATCATGGCCAGAGAATAGAGAATCATTACCATGGTCCCTACCTCAATTCAGCTCTGAAAAAGGCAGGCTTTGACTATTGAAATTTGATTTTTGTTTGTTTATAAGTGGCACATTATGAAGCTTCCTTTTGTGACCGAATGAGAATGGGGTATTATTAGAGATCTCTGTCAACACAAGAGGCAGAGATTCCATCCTGATGCAATATCCAGTTTTACCCGTTGACTCTGTATTTTCCATGGATGCCAGATAGCCTGAGTTTAGCGTAGATTAGAATATAGATTGGTGAACCTCCACCCCCTTGTTTACTCAAAGCAGAGGAGGGTGTTGTAGCGATCGACCTCTCAGCCTCCTTAACGCTGGGTTGATTTCACTCATCCAGGGAACCTCCCAGGAAGCCTCCAGTAAGCCCACATTCATTAGGTTCAATAAACCTGAAGAGAAATAAGTGTTTGGTCTGTTCGACCCAGTGGATAATGCAGTCTCTCCACCATGGTGAAATGATAGGTTTGACTAACGATTCCTAACACCACCAGTTATTGGTGGGTAATTGACCTCACTCCCACGCTATTGATTTTGAGATCCCTGGGTTATTCATTTAAAAACGGGGCTGCTGTTGGGGAAAGCAAATAAAGGCTAGTACAGAAATGATGAGATCTCATTTCATGGGCAGTTAACTAGATGTTGTGTATGGATATGTAAGAGTCAACTTGGTCTCACAAGAAACATAAACAATGTCAGATTCGCAATAGCCTATTTTACAGTAAATGCAAGCGCGACAGGTCAAAATTTTAGGATAAGGTTAGGTTTAGGCATGCTAGCGAATGGTTAATGCAATGGTTAGGCTAAAGGTTAGAAAACAAAAACACCTGGATTCGAACCGTATCGGCCCGTGTGAGGATATTCCAGTATGCTTGTTTCATTAGAGTAGCGATATTGCGACACGTTACAAATATGTCTCAATGCTGTCATCTCTGTTATGACCACCCAAAGTAAATGTACATGCTCTAAACTCATCTTACCTGTGTGTGTGTGTGTGTACTGTATCGTGTGTGTGTATGTGCATGTGTATGTGTGTATCTGTACGCACGTGTGTGGGTATGTGCAGCAGGATGCACTCGCTCCAGGTGGACTCGGTGCAGCGCTGGATGGAGGACCTGCGTCACATGACGGAGGTGGAGTGCATGTGTGTTCTGCAAGCCAAGGCCATTGGCGTGGAGGAGGATGCCCAGGGCGAGCTCATCGTGGCCACGGGGGACCATGTGGCCCGCGACAACCTGCAGACGCTGCTGCGGCGGGCGCTGGTGGTCAGCACGGAGCTGGGCAAGATGTTCCAGCGGCTGGAGAAGGGCCGCTGGCAGCGGGTCCACAGCACGGCCGTCCGGGCCAACTGCCACGTGCGCTCGCTGGTGCACGAGTATAGCGCCGCCCGCAACACCCCCTCGGAGATGCAGAAGGTAAGAATGGAGGGAGAGGTGGACTGGTCTGGGTTGGAGGGCGGAGGATGGAGGGAGAGGTGGACTGGTCTGGGTGGGAGGGCGGAGGATGGAGGGAGAGGTGGACTGGTCTGGGTGGGAGGGCGGAGGATGGAGAGAGAGGTGGACTGGTCTGGGTGGGAGGGCGGAGGATGGAGGGAGAGGTGGACTGGTCTGGGTGGGAGGGCGGAGGATGGAGGGAGAGGTGGACTGGTCTGGGTGGGAGGGCGGAGGATGGAGGGAGAGGTGGACTGGTTTGGGTGGGAGGGCGGAGGATGGAGGGAGAGGTGGACTGGTCTGGGTGGGAGGGAGGGCGGAGGATGGAGGGAGAGGTTGACTGGTCTGGGTGGGATGGCGGAGGATGGAGGGAGAGGTGGACTGGTCTGGGTGGGAGGGCGGAGGATGGAGGGAGAGGTTGACTGGGCTGAGTGGGCATGCAGAGTAGGGATTAATATTTTCCTGAAAATCTACCACATTTCAATACCGGGAATAATTCAAATTTATCAAGAGAGTCCCTGGAAATACTGCAAAAATCTGGAGTGCCCATTTAAAGCAGTTCAAAACCAAGATATCATCACTATGCCAGGGTTAAATAAGAGGAGCACTGCGTCACATTGTTGGCTTGGCTGCGCAACTATGTCAAGATTTCAGGGCAAATTAAACTGATATTTAGTAATAATAGAGTAACTATCTTTGATCGCTAATTACATTGTTAATTAATTCAGCACATTTCAGCAGGAGGCTATCTCGACACAGAGCGCACCCCGAGTATAGCGTTGTCGAATCATACAAACTTTATAACAGCAGTCAAACAAAAGTCAAATGACCAAAGTTGCTAAGTTTGCTAGATAACCTCCTTCAACGAATGACAGAATATCTCCTATATTTGGCAAAATCGAGTTGATGATTATACAGATAGCAGAGCAGCTCATGAATACGGGGAGATGAAGAGTGGAAATTGTTTAAATATCAAGGTATCTTAACGGGCACCAACTCTGTTAAAAAAAAAAATCCATATCTACTCTCATACCGTTTGTTGATAACACATTCTCTACTGAAACTCTCATATGGGCAGCAGTACGAGACAGTGCAGAGAAGTGGGGGAAATGTTATAGCTGTATTTGACATGCATAGGCGAAAGACGTGCTTTGATAATGCAACCTATGGATTACAGAATAAAGTTAGGAATTTTTATGCGAGACAGGAGTCAGGATTTTCGGTTTCAATGGTATTGAGACTGGATAGGAAAATAGCCTAGGCTCTAGAAGATAGACACTTCCTTATTTTTTGCTGAGATCCGCCAAAGATGAAACCGTGCCACTGGTTGCCCCAGGCACATTTGCTATTGTTTTGTTTTGAAAAGGATGAAATGAGCATCCAGCAAAGTAATAAACCGTAGTACATACTCTGCTGTTTGCACGTGCAATGATGTCAGAGGGGGAAAAACGGTTAGTTGTTTGAAGGAACAAAAAAGTTGTAATATTAATTGTTTGAAGTAACATCTTTGTTGTTGTAATATTAGTTGTTTGAAGTAACATCTTTGTTGTTGTAATATTAGTTGTTTGAAGTAACATCTTTGTTGTTGTAATATCGTAAACGGACGTGACCGTTTCACCACAACGGATTCCAACTATAAGGAGTTTTTAGCTACTTCTCTGCTGTAACATTTGAACATTGGCCGCATGTAAATAGTGTCTATTATTGGTCACATAAGCTATTCATGCCAAGAGCAAAATTCAGACTAAAATAATATGAAAATGAGTCTCTGAGAGCCACCTGTCTGGTTCCATCTTGGACGTGCTGTTGAAGACATTAGCTGCCTCTGATGAGCCTCTCCCTTCAGTAGTTCGTGCAGGTTTCCCGTCAAGTGGAATCACAGTTGCGCCGTATTATACGGAGTACTCACTTTATCCATTTTAAAATGATGCTGTGAAAGTTCCGCTTCTGTTACATATAGCTGCTCATACCACAGGACATTTTGTGCAGTTCTCTGTGTGTACATAAAGGGATGACCACTAACTGGAGAATGGCATTGTTTTCTGCTTTGTGTGGGTGTTCTGCTGTCTGTGTGTGTCTAATGTTTGTCTCATTGTAACTTGAAATGTGTGTCTCTCCTCTTTGAGTGCAGTATGAGAAGTCTTTGCTTGAGAAGTGCATGGAGCTGACCACCATAACAGAGAGGTAAAACATTCATACAAAACTTGAATAATGTCACACACATTTGAATACAGTAGCTCAATAAGTGTTTATGTTCATGGTTTATCAAAACCGTCTCTTCTACAGATGCCTTCATACTGAGGACGAATTCTTCCTAAAGTCCATGAGGGAGGCCATTAACGAGATTCTCACTGATGTCAGCGATTCGTTCAGCCACATGATTGACATGGCCCTGGCCAATGAGATCCAGGTATGAGGCTTTGACCACACTCTCTTTTTTAGTCATAATTAGGCCTTCAACACACTGGGATTTTGTGTCCAGGAACATCAAATGGAACCAATGCTTTTTCATTGCCGAAAGTATGAAAACAAACGGTTCGTCTTTTGACGAACAAACACGTCCGAAAATAGTTGACTTGAGTTGTACTTTTGACAGACAAAAACGGACTATGATGTACGTCATATACGATTTCATCCGTGTTCATGCATCTGAGTGTGGCTGTAGCCTTACTCATTCTTGATGTGTTTGATAGACGCACACACACACACACACACACACACACACACACACACACACACACACACACACACACACACTCATACACACACACAGTCCACAATCAAACCCATTCCTGAGCAGCCTGTAAGTCTACATGTTGTATTGTTATACTAAAAACAAATTAGCACAGTTCAGGAAGGGTGAGTTCAAAGGTAAACATTTGCCCAGTTTAATATAGCCACTATAATAGGTGATTACATCATTCCTGTATCGTTGGTTTAGACTAATGAAAACAAATAGAGATTTCATTAGACTTTCTACTCTATTTAAATGATCACAACAGTATGAACTGCAGTATGAACTGCAGTGGTGTAAAGTACTTAAGTAGAAATACTTTAAAGTACTACTTAAGTCGTTTTTTGGGGGTATCTGTACTTTACTTTACTATTTATATTTTGAACAACTTTTACTTTTACTCCACTGCATTCCTAACGAAAATAATATACTTTTTGCTCCATACATTTTCCTTGACACCCAAAAGTACTTGTTACATTTTGAATGCTTAGCAGGACAGGAAAATGGTCCAATTCACGCACTTATCAAGAGAACATCCCTGGTCATCCCTACTGCCTCTGATCTGACGGCCTCACTAAACAATGCTTATGTCTGAGTGTTGGAGTGTTCCCCTGGATATCCGTACATTTTAAAAACAAGAAAATTGTGCCATCAGGTTTGCTTAATATAAGGAATTAGAAATTATTTATACTTTTACTTTTGATACTTAAGTATATTTTAGCAATTACATTTACTTTTGATACTTATGTATATTTAAAACCAAATACTTTTAGACTTTTACTCAAGTATTATTTTACTGGGTGACTTTCACTTTTACTTGAGTCATTTTCTATTAAGGTATGTTTACTTTTACTCACGTATAACAATTGGGTCTTTTTTCCACCACTGATGAACTGGTAATAACGAATTGCATATTGAGTTCAATAGAAAATGTAACGATATTTTGATAATTAAATTATGCTCAGTTTTAAATATCCACAATAGAGTCATTAATTAGTTCTAATATTGAACTTCTATATCGTATAACTTCAAAACTTCCTCCTTTCATTGAAATTTCGCTTGCTGCTTCCCTTTCTGAAAAGAGATGTCTCAATGGTATCTCAGTGGTTTTGTCATGGCTCTTGTGTGTGTGTGTGTGTGTGTGTGTGTGTGTGTGTGTGTGTGTGTGTGTGTGTGTCCCGGTCCTCTCCAGATCCTGATCAGGCAGATTGAGTCATCAGACAGTGTGTACACCATCAGCAGTGCCATCAGCAACCTGCTCTCCCTCACCCAGGACGGCCTGCAGCTCTGCAGAATCATCGCCAAGGTGAGACACACCCCCTCAGACAGACACACCACTCTGTCTGGATACACGTAGGATGACGCTCCCTGCTACATTCTTTTAATTTTAAAATTTAACCTTTATTTAACTAGGAAAGTCAGTTAAGAACAAATTCTTATTTACAATGACGACCTACCAAAATGCAAAAGGCCTCCTGCGGGGACGGGGGTTGGAATTATATATATAACATCCCCATATTCATCTCTCTCGGCCATCCACTTCCCCATACCTCCACATGAACCATTGGCCAAATCCCAAACAGATCCCTGGGCCCCTGTAAATCCCTGTTCACTCTTCCTTGCAGATCGGAAAGGAGCTAAGGATCGGTTTGGGATTGGGCAATCAGTCCTGCCCACCTACCACCCACCCACCATACTATACATATATAGTAAATCTCTATAGCTACAGAGTCATATGCTCTAAGAGATAAGAGGGGACAGGCCAGACACTATGTCCCTGTGGTCATTAGAGGGTACAGGCCAGACACTATGTCCCTGTGGTCTTTAGCCAACCAGATGCTTCCAGGATGCTCTTGATAAGACTCTTCCGGGTGGGAGACTCAGCCCATAAACTTAACACACACACACATACACACACATACACACACACATAAACACACATGCATACCTTCCTTGTTGCCAGATGAGATCAATAGTGTCATTTCCCATTAGGACTGGGCATTGATCACACAGACGGCCTGCCTCTGTTTTACCTATCACTCCCCTCAACCTTCCTCGTACAGCATCTCTCTCTCTCTCGCTCTCTCTTTCCCTCTCTCCCTCTCTCTCTCTCTCTCGCTCTCACTCTCTCGCTCTCTCGCTCTCTCGCTCTCTCTCTCTCTCTCTCTCTCTCTCTCTCTCTCGCTCTCTCTCTCGCTGTCTCTCTCTCTCGCTCTCGCTGTCTCTCTCTCTCGCTCTCTCTCTCTCTCTCGCTCGCTCTCTCTCTCTCTCTTGCTCTCTCTATCTCTCTCTCTGTTTCTCTCTATTGTGAGAGGGTGGTTGGTTAAGAAATCGGGCCTCCCGAATGGCGCAGTGGTCTGAGGCACTGCATCGCAGTGCTTGAGGCGTCACTACAGACCATCGGCAGTGCCATCACCCGGGTTCGATCCCAGGCTGTGTCACAACCGACCGTGACAGGGAGTCCCACAGGGTGGCGCACAATTGGCCCAGCGTCGTCCGGGTTAGGGGAGGGTTTGGCCAGGGGGGCTTTACTTGGCTAATCGCGCTCTAGCGACTCATTGTGGCGGGCCGGGCGCCTGCAGGCTGACGTTGGACATGTTTCCTCCGACACATTGGTGCGGCTGGCTTCCGGGTTAAGTGGGTGTTAAGAAGCGCATTTTGGCATGTTTCGGGGGACGCATGGCTCGACCTTCGCCTCTCCTGAGCCTGTTGGGGAGTTGCAGCGATGAGACAAGATCGTAATTGGATCGCAATTGGGTTCGCATACCGCCCCAACAGATCCACAGATGACGCAATCTAAATCGCACTCCACACTGCCATTTCCCACCTGGACAAAAGGAACACCTATATGAGAATGCTGTACATTGACTACAGCTCAGCATTCAACATGATAGTGCCCACAAAGCTCATCACTATCAAATCAAATCAAATTTTATTTGCCACATCCGCCGAATACAATAGGTGTAGACCTTACAGTGAAATGCTTACTTACAAGCCCTTAACCAATAATGCAGTTTTAAGAAAAAATTTGTTAAATAAAAAATAAAAATAATTAAAGAGCAGCAGTAAAATAAAATAACAGTAGGGAGGCTATACTTTATACAGGGGGTACCGGTACAGAGTCAATGTGCGGGGGCACCGGTTATTGAGGTAATATGTACATACATGTGGGTAGAGCTAAAGTGACTATGCATAGATAATAAACAGAGTAGCAGCAGCGTTAAAGAGGGGATGGGGTGGGGTGGGGGGGACAATGCAAATAGTCTGGGTAGCCATGATTAACTGTTCAGGAGTCTTATGGCTTGGGGGTAGAAGCTGTTAAGAAGCCTTTTGGACCTAGACTTGGCGCTCTGGTACCGCTTGCCGTGCGGTAGCAGAGAGAAAGTGAGAATAATAAACAAACAACTCAAAATTTACAAATAAAAATTTCTGACATTTAAAAAAAACATCTGTGACCAATATAGCCACCCTTCTTTTCAATAACAGTCATAAGCCTTCCATCCATGGAGTCTGTCAGTTTCGTGATCTGTTGACGATCAACTTTTTGTGCAGCAGCAACCACAGCCTCCCAGACACTGGTCAGAGAGGTGTACTGTTTTCCTTCACCGTAAATCGACCGTTTAAGAAGGGACCACAAGTTCTCAATAGAGTTTAGGTCAGGTGAGGAAGGGGGCCATGTCATTATTCTTTCATCTTTAAAGCCTTTACTTGCTAGTCACGCAGTGGAGTACTTCGATGCATGCGATGGAGCATTGTCCTGCATAAAAATCATGGTCTTCTTGAAAGATGCAGACTTGTTCCTGTACCACTGCTTGAAGAAAGTGTCATCTAAAAACTGGCAGTAGGTTTGAGAGTTGAGTTTGAGTCCATCTTCAACCTGAAAAGGTCCAACTAGCTCATCTTTAATAATACCAGCCCATACCAGTACCCCACCTCCACCTTGCTGGCGTCTGAGTCGAAGTGGAGCTCTGTGCCCGTTACTGATCCAGCCACGGGCCCATCCATCTGGTCCGTCAAGAGTCACTCTAATCTCATCCGTCCATAAAACCTTTAAGAAATCTGTCTTCAGATATTTCTTGGCCCAGTCTTGACGTTTCAACTTATGTGTCTTGTTCAGTGGTGGTCGGGTTTCAGCCTTCCTTACCATGGCCATGTCTCTGAGCACTGAACACCTTGTACTTCTGGGCACTCTAGGTAGGTTGCAGTTCTGGAATATGACAGCACTGGAGGATAATCGCTTCCTGGTAGCGTCACGTTTGATTCTTCTAAAATCTTTGGCAGTTAATTTGCGTCTTTTTTTCTCAACAAGGTTCTTGCAACCCTGTTGACTATTTGCAACAAAACGTTTGATGGTTCTGTGATCACGCCCCAATATCTTAGCAATTTCAAGAGTGCTGCATCCCTCAAATACTTTTACATTTTTTTGACTTTTCAGAGTCAGTTAAATTAATTTTTTCCCCATTTTTCCTGAAGAAAATAAGCTGCCTAATAATTATGCACACCTTGATATAGGGTGTTGATCTCCTTAGGCCACACCCTCCCTCATTACACAAATACACATCACCTGATATGCTTAAATCCAATAAGCAATCCAGTTTATACAGCTTGGAGTTGGGAAATATGCATAATAATGCATAATAATGATGATATGGTCAAAATACTGACCTGCCTAATAATTGTGCACACATAAAAAATGTTAGGATACATGTGAAATATTTCAAATTGGCCTAATAATGTATTTAATCATTTTTTATTTCATACATTTTCTTCTTTTTACATTCAGACCCCTTGACTTTTTCCACATTTTGTTACATTACAGCCTTATTCTAAAATGGATTTAAAAAATAATAATTGCTCATCAATCTACACACAATACCCCATAATGACAAAGCGAAAACAGGTTTTTAGAAATGTTGCACATTTATTACAAATAAAAAGCAGAAATACATTATTTACATAAATATTCAGACCATTTGTTATGAGACTCGAAATTGAGCTCAGGTGGATCCTGTTTCCATTGATCATCCTTGAGATGTTTCTACAACTTGATTGGAGTCCACCTGTGGTAAATTCAATTGATTGGAGATGATTTGGAAAGGCACACGCCTGTCTATATAAGGTCCCACAGTTGACGGTGCATGTCAGAGCAAAAACCAAGCCATAAGGTCGAGGCACACATCTGGGGAAGGGCATCAAAAAATATCTGCAGCATTGAAGGTTCCCAAGAACACAGTAGTCTCCATCATTCTTAAATGGAAGAAGTTTGGAACCACCAAGACTCTTCCTAGAGCTGGCCGCCCGGCCAAACTGCGCAATCAGGGGAGAAGGGCCTTGGTCAAGGAGGTGACCAAGAACCCGATTGTCACTCTGACACAGCTCCAGCGTTCCTCTGTGGAGATGGGAGAACCTTTCAGAAGGACAACCATCTCTGCAGCACTCCACCAATCAGGCCTTTATGGTAGAGTGGCCAGACGGAAGCCACTCCTCAGTAAAAGGCACATGACAGCCCGCTTGGTTTGCCAGACCATGAGAAACAAGATTATCTGCCTGAATGCCAAGCGTCACGTCTGGAGGAAACCTGGCACCATACCTACGGTGAAGCATGGTGGTGGCAGCATCATGCTGTGGGGATGTTTTTCAATGGCAGGGACTGGGAGACTAGTCAGGATCAAGGGAAAGATGAACAGTAGAGAGAGATCCTTAATGAAAACCTGCTCCAGGGTGCTCAAGACTTCAGACTGGGGCGAAGGTTCACCTTCCAACAGGACAACGACCCTAAGCACACAGCCAAGGAAACGCAGGAGTGGCTTCGTGACAAGTCTCTGAACGTCATTGAGTGGCCCAACCAATCACTTTTTTATTTTTAATAAATTAGCAAAAAATAAACATTTCACTGTTAGTCCACACCTGTTGTTTACGAAGAGTGTGACGAATAACATTTCATTTGATTTAAAGCACCTCCTTTCTACCTTTGTCATTTCTATTTTACTGTAACAGTACCAGTTACCAGTCTCCTCAAAAAAATATATTATTTATCTCAAGGGACTTCCTGGTCAAATAAAGGTTCAATTAAATTAAATAAAAATAGCTAACCTGCGAGGGCTAACAACACCTGCGTCACAGAAAAATTATGAAAGCATAACAGGACTCCTCCATGAGATTGAAAATAATAACTTGTTTTGGGGCTTTAGAATGGTTGAAAAATGTAATGAAGAATACTGCTCAGGGATTGGCTAAAAGGGATGATGCTTTGGTCTTCTAGGGACTGTATTGCGTGGGCAGAGCAGGGAAGAGCAGTTAGGGTAGGGGGCAGGACGATTAGCCACTCCAGGCTTGGCTGTGGCACTATCTGTGCATGTGACGTACCAGCAGCTCCTATAATGGGTCTTATTAGAATAATGGTGGTAGTTACAGGACCTTTTCTTGCAGGTCATTCTATCAATCTCCATTGGGAATAGAATTCTGTCAGCAAGTGGTTTTGCAAGAGGAAATTACCGAATATGGACACTACGGACTGCTTATGTTTGTTTAGGGCAATTCCACGTTAAGAGTGATGCTGAGACTCAGATTTCTCACTTTAAAATGTATGCCAGACAAAAATCTATGATTGTAAAGTTAAACAAACCATACAACTCTATGCACAAGGACTACTTTTAACAATTTCCACAGTACATTTTACAAAAACACATTTACTTGAAGGACTTTTTGCAGATGCAAAGTTTGGTAACAGAATGACGTTTTGTGCTGTATGTGCCGTGGAATTTCCCTTTACCCTAATCTGCATTGCAAAAGAGATAAACAACCATTAAGGGTAGCATATCAAACCCTTGTGCTCAGAACTTCACAAGAGAATAATGATTAACAAGTTTATTAATCAAGACACTATTAAAGGTGCACTATGCAGAAATTGCATCATTTTCTGGTTGCTAAAATTCTAATCGTTAGCCTAATGTCAGTTTATGTGACAAAACAAGCAGTCATTTTTGTAGAGAATCATTGTACCATTTAAACCGCTGTGAGATATATTTTCAAAATATGGTCAAAAATAGCTTCTTAGCAAAGATACATTTCTCAAGCATGAATTCTGCTAGGACTGTCTGGGAGTGGTCTGAGTGAGGAGGGGAAAACTGAAAACGAGCTGTTATTGGCAGAGAGATTCTTTCTTATTGGTCTATTAAATAATTTACCGCCGGGTGATGTCACCAGGAAGGCCAAAACTCAACCCTACCAAAACAGGCTGACATTTCAGGCAGTCTTTTTCAAACAGCTCTTACACTAGGGCATTATCATATATTTTTTTTTTACAGTTTCACAATATTATTCCAACCTCATAGTGAGGAAATATATACAGTGGGGAGAACAAGTATTTGATACACTGGCAATTTTGCAGGTTTTCCTACTTACAAAGCATGTAGAGGTCTGTAATTTTGTATCATAGGTACACTTTAACTGTGAGAGACGGGATCTAAAACAAAAATCCAGAAAATCACATTGTATGATTTTTAAGTAATTAATTTGCATTTTATTGCATGACATAAGTATTTGATACATCAGAAAAGCAGAACTTAATATTTGGTACAGAAACCTTTGTTTGCAATTACAGAGATCATATGTTTCCTGTAGGTCTTGACCAGGTTTGCACACACTGCAGCAGGAATTTTGGCTCACTCCTCCATACAGACCTTCTCCAGATCCTTCAGGTTTCGGGGCTGTCGCTGGGCAATACGGACTTTCAGCTCCCTCCAAAGATTTTCTATTGGGTTCAGGTCTGGAGACTGGCTAGGCCACTCCAGGACCTTGAGATGCTTCTTACGGAGCCACTCCTTAGTTGCCCTGGCTGTGTGTTTCGGGTCGTTGTCATGCTGGAAGACCCAGCCACGACCCATCTTCAATGCTCTTACTGCGGGAAGGAGGTTGTTGGCCAAGATCTCGCGATACATGGCCCCATCCATCCTCCCCTCAATACGGTGCAGTCGTCCTGTCCCCTTTGCAGAAAAGCATCCCCAAAGAATGATGTTTCCACCTCCATGCTTCACGGTTGGGATGGTGTTCTTGGGGTTGTACTCATCCTTCTTCTTCCTCCAAACACGGCGAGTGGAGTTTAGACCAAAAAGCTCTATTTTTGTCTCATCAGACCACATGACCTTCTCCCATTCCTCCTCTGGATAATCCAGATGGTCATTGGCAAACTTCAGACAGGCCTGGACATGCGCTGGCTTGAGCAGGGGGACCTTGCGTGCGCTGCAGGATTTTAATCCATGATGGCGTAGTGTGTTACTAATGGTTTTCTTTGAGACTGAGGTCCCAGCTCTCTTCAGGTCATTGACCAGGTCCTGCCGTGTAGTTCTGGGCTGATCCCTCACCTTCCTCATGATCATTGATGCCCCACGAGGTGAGATCTTGCATGGAGCCCCAGACCGAGGGTGATTGACCGTCATCTTGAACTTCTTCCATTTTCTAATAATTGCGCCAACAGATGTTGCCTTCTCACCAAGCTGCTTGCCTATTGTCCTGTAGCCTATCCCAGCCTTGTGCAGGTCTACAATTTATCCCTGATGTCCTTACACAGCTCTCTGGTCTTGGCCATTGTAGAGAGGTTGGAGTCTGTTTGATTGAGTGTGTGGACAGGTGTCTTTTATACAGGTAACGAGTTCAAACAGGTGCAGTTAATACAGGTAATGAGTGGCGAACAGGAGGGCTTCTTAAAGAAAAACGAACAGGTCTGTGAGAGCCGGAATTTTTACTGGTTGGTAGATGATCAAATACTTATGTCATGCAATAAAATGCAAATTAATTACTTAAAAATCATACCAAGTGATTTTCTGGATTTTTGTTTTAGATTCCGTCTCTCACAGTTGAAGTGTACCTATGATAAAAATTAGAGATCTCTACATGCTTTGTAAGTAGGAAAACCTGCAAAATCGACAGTGTATCAAATACTTGTTCTCCCCACTGTATATATTAAAAACATGGGGGATTGGAAGTGATGCAGACAATTACATTGATAGAAGTTATAATCTATCTGAATATTTTTTTCTCATATAATTTAAAAAACTGTTCGCTAGGCGTAGGCAAGACCATAAGCAAATAGGTAAACTGGGATAATACTAAAGAGTTAATCAGGGTGATTTTTCCACAAATTGACAGGTATTTACCTTTCCATGGTAGTAAGATCTTATCTATTTTTGCTAACTTTCTATTAAAATTTATTGAAGTGAGATCATTTATTTCCTTTGGGATATGTATTCCGAGTATATCCACATCACCATCAGACCATTTTATTGGTAAACTACATGGTAATGTAAAAATTGTAATTTTTTGCGATCCAATACGTAATATAGTAAATTTGTCATAATTTGGTTGTAATCCAGAGTGGTTAGAAAATGTATCTAGATCCTCTATGAGGCTGTGGAAGGATTCTAGTTGTGGATTTAAAAGAAAACATGAATCATCAGCGTACAATGACACCTTTGTTTTTAAGCCCTGGATTTCTAATCCTCTGATATTATTATTGGATCTGATTTTAATAGCTAACATCTCGATGGCCACAATAAATAGATATGCCGATATTGGACAACCTTGTTTCACTCCTCTTGACAGTTTAAAACTTTCTGAGAAATAGCCATTATTTACTATTTTACACCTAGGGTTACTGTACATGATTTTGACCCATTTTATAAGAGATTCTCCAAAATTGAAATGCTCCAGGTATTTATATATAAACCCCAGTCGTACTTTATCAAATGTCTTTTCGAAGTCTGCTATGAATAGCAGGCCTGAGTCTCACTTTTACACATATTAGTGTGTAGCCCAAACTGTTTGGACGCTACAAACAAAAGATGGCAGATCGGCTGTACCAACTTCAGACGAGTCCCAAGACGCTTGTGGGAGTCGTAGAGCAAAATGGTCATAATAGTTTGTAGGCCAAACCGTTTGGACGCTACAGACGTTTTTGTGAGAAGACCGATTTTCTGGATGTCTCATGGTCTGAAAAACACAGCTCTAGCTCTGTCACCTTTCACCGCAGATGCGGAAGTGTTGCATAGGCGGATGCGTTTGATTGAGACTCATCCATTGCAAAAACAGATATATATAGCTTAAACTGACACATTTTTATGGGGATGTTTTTATTGTGTGGGCGTGGATATCGACCTTAGGATTAACGTGAGTCATTGGCTAGCCTGTCAGGTTGGTAAGCCTACTGTGCACTGTTGGCTGGACTATTCGGCCTGGTTGGATAGTCCATTGTTGGCAAGTCTATTGGGCACTTTTGGCTATTGGAAGGTTTGACTTAGCACAGTCTGTTTGCTTTGAAGGGCTATCAATTTGACATAAGCTCAGGCTAGCTTATTAAGCACTGAGCATTGTCTGCAATGCTAATGTGAATGCTGATGCTAATGGTGTTGTCTTTTTTGTCTGTCCACAGGAGGGTGCTGTGGTGGCCCTGTTTAAGATCTGCCGGCAGGACTGCTTCAGCGACCTCTACGCACACGCCCTGAGGGCGGTGGCCTCAATATGTTGCGTGGAGGAGGGCATCAACCAGCTGGAGAAGGTAGTGTAGTGCAGCGTTTTATATGCGTAGACACTAGCGCACCCACACACATTCAGAGGTTGGTAGTCACCGATGAGGGCAGTGGCATTATGTCCTGCTCTCCAAAAAGCTGCCAGGTGCTGGGTGGAGGTACTACTGGTGTCTGATACACAAACAAACAGATTTTCACAGAAAAATCTGGATGCAGATACAAACTGACACACTCATACAACCATAAAACCATATAACCGTGTAACCATACAACCATACACTAAAACTCATTTACTAATGAGCAGCAGAAGACAGACAGACAGACCAGCAGACAGATAGACAGACAGACATCATTCCATTGGTCTGCTAGAGTGAAAACTTTGGTGCGAGATGTTTAGTCTTCCAGTGGCCAGGTATAAATGCTCAACTACTACACTGGGGCTGTAGGCCTCACAAGCACAGGTGAAAAAATGCTAACAATGAGATTAGCGGGAGACTTGGCCACTTCAAGCTCTGAGCAGGAGCTCAAGGATACTGTAAAAAGTAGTGTTTGTTTCACTGCTGGCCATGGTCTCCTTGCAGGCTGATTGATGTAACCTTGCATTTCAATTTGCTCTGCAAGCAAGAATTTGAGGTTGTTAAGAGAGTATGGTGTGTGTGTTTGAGTGCCTGCAAGTTCTTGTGCTTCAGTAGGCCTATATAAACAGAATCTTTTCAGTGTGTTTTTGTTTCTTCTTTTGAGAATAAACAAAAAACACAAAGCACCTCTACCCAATGGCACCCATGAAAGACAAATACAACCCCATTCACTGATTAATGACGCCACACCGGCATCTGTGTCTGCTCAAAGAGAAGCTTGGAGAACGGAGGCAGTCAGGTGTAGAAACGCCAGACAACATAGGCATGACAGTGGGTTCCAGATTAGATCCTCCGGGGGGAACTGTCGCTACGCTAGTGGATGCTACGAACCGGACACGAGCCATCGCTCAGCCGCGACAACCACATCTGTCGCAGTTGCCGAGTGATGGCGGAAAGGGGAGGATTCACTCCTTGTGTCTCATTGGTTGGAAACTGTTTGTTTATTTCTTTTGGGGCATGTGGTTAAAACAGTACGAGCGTGATGAAGTTGAACCTCCATGGTCGTGTCTACTGCACTCTGAAAACAAAATGCACATTGACAAAAAGTGTCCTACAGTACATGATATTTGAGTAGCTTAACTTTGGTATAAAGTTATTATATGCTATATACCCCTTTCAAAAAGTAGGTAGACATATGTTATTATTATTAGGATACAAAACTTGTATGAGTCAAGTCAAGTAAGTGTCTTCTTCCACACGATTATTAAACATTTTGGAAGACATCCGGAGTAGACCGGGGGGCAAAATATGAATGAGAAGTTATCTCAGTGCAGCATATTTCGGGGAGAGGGACGGGAGTGGGAGGAGGACGGAAGAGTGGATTGTTCCTCGTCAATGGGCCGTGCCGGCACACTGGTGATGTATTAGGAGACAGAAATACGGAGTTGTCCTATCGTCAAGCTCATAGTGATGGTCTTCAGGAAATGACTCTGACAGGTGTGTCTAGGATGGATAGTTTGTATGAGCTCACTCGAAACAATTCTACTCACGCTGAACGTTTGTAGACTTCTTTTCACAGTGAGCCAGAAAAGCAAAAAGTGACAATTATTGCAACGTTTTTCTGTTTGGGTGCTCTGTATTGTAAAACTGGTCACTTCCATTACAGACTTGACGGTCAAATCCTTCAAAAGGTAAAGTTATACAGGTTATTTGTTTTTAGGTAAAATCTTTTGCTAATATTAATAAAAGGTTTCGTTTTATTCCACAGTATATTTGGGCACTAATACTGTATATGCAGGGTCACCGGCACTACTGCTCTAAGATGCAAGGTCTCAAAGGTACTGTATATTATAGTAGTGGGAAGTGCACCAGAGTTTTGTCTGTGCAACATTGCCACAGTGTGGATAAATATTTTATTTCCAAACCTGGATGAAAAGGTTCACTGTATAGGCACACTTATCACTCTACTCAACTTCCTTGGGTTTACTCTCTCTCTCTCTCTCTCTCTCTCTCTCTCTCTCTCTCTCTCTCTCTCGCTCTCTCTCGCTCTCTCTCTCTCTCTCTCACACCTCTGCATGTACACAGAAACATGTTATGTGTGTATTTTAGTTTGCCTACCCCCAAACAACCTCTCCCCAACACATGCACATCACAGCACATGCACATCCACCCACACCCCTTGGCCATCTTAAACAATGTCCAATCAGAAGTCAGATAAAAGCGGTGGGGCGGGTGAAGATCCACACTTTTTCTCCCATCGTGACTAATTATAAAATCGCAAAGCCCAGCGCTTTTTCTACCGTCATAAAAACAGCTTTTATTGGATTACTCCTGTTTCACTTAAATATATTAGGAGACAATTAAAGACATTGGGTCTGCACCAACGAGGTGACAATTTTGAGAGACACGTGAATCACATTCCCCCAAACCTGATGTGCACGTGTTGGGGAAACGGCAGGCGAGATCTGAGAGCCCTCAGCCCATAAAAGCAACTCCAGTCCCAGAGGGAGATGGCCGTAAAATTGGAGTGGTGTCGTTTAATCGTGATGGCTTTATGGGCAGAGCTACTAAGTCTCACCCGGGTTGGCCCGGACACTTAACCAGGGTTGCACCCCAGGACACTTAACCAGGTTTGACCCCGAACACTTAACCAGGGTTGACCTGGACACTTAACTATCTGGCTGGATGCCTAAAAATAGAACCTACTATAGAGGGATTCTTCGATGAATCAAAGGCGGCTGTCAAGCCAATGAGATGCTCGGGGCTTGTTACATCATATACTGTATATGGTTGTCCTTTTTATTTTGGACTTCTTCAATGAATTCCAAATGGACTTGTGTGTGTTGTACTGTGTGTGTGTGTGTAGCCTGGTGGTCCAGTGTGTTTGTGCTTTCACCAACTCGCCTCTGTTCGTTGTCATACAAAATAATGTATGTAGGGCTTGACAACCATAGAAGAGTTGACCACAGCATATACAATATGTGGGTCTAAGGCTAATGTGTGTGTGTGTGTGTGTGTGTGTGGAATGTGTTACGTTCTGAATTCCCTCAGATAAAGTTTGATGCCATTAAACCAGCTGCTACGTTGTCTTGTTATCCTTATGTCTAGTATGAGACGATTCGATGTAACAGGATGTGCTTGTCATTGCGTGTTATGCGTATGCATCACCCCTCTTATAGGTGGATGGGATCCTGTGCCTGGCAGACATCCTGACCGATGAGAACAGTGCTGAGGCGGCGAGGGCAGAGGCGGCGGCGGTGGTGGCCCAGATCACCTCGCCCCACCACACCTCCACCCAGCACCTGGGCAGCTTCCTGGAGAGCATGGAGGACATTGTCACTGCTCTCATCAGTGAGTGCATGGCTGCTGCACTGCAGGGCTTTGATATGGCTAGATCAGTGTGTTCATTCTGAAACACTTTAAAGGCCCACTGTTTAATATACGAAAAACAAGAGAACGGCAGCTCCTTCACTTAGTTTTGGGATGGGGGCTGCGGAAATGTAACCACTCGAAAAGGTGGAGCTATGAATGTAAAGTCCATGAGGTCCAGGTGATTTTTGAAGATAAATGTGTGTGTGTTTGTTTCCTCAAGAGTTGTGCGCGAGTGCCTCCTGTGGTGAGGTCTTCCTCCTGGCGTCTGCTGCCCTTGCCAACATCACATTCTTCGACAGCATGGCCTGTGAGATCCTCCTCCAGCTCAACACCATCCACATCCTCCTCCAGGCATGCAAAGACCGCCAGAGAGTGGATACTCCCTACTCTAAAGACCAGGTAGAGGACACGCTGATCTATAAATAATTTAGATCCGGTAGAGTGATTGGTTAAAATGCTGCGCTCATGAGTGCAAAGTTTGAGGTCGGGAGAGGGAGGGGACCTACCCTGTTACATATGTAAACACCTTCATGCAAACACGCCCGCCATATCTTCCTAATTTCCTAAGAGGACATTCCATAAAAACAGATTTACCATAATTCAAAGTAGAGTTTGAGTAATTCATGCCCAGCACTGTCATATTTTACCAGGAGGCGTGCTAAAATGTGTTGAGCGTTGTCAAATCTCTGGTATGCCCTGTTGACTGTGGTCTTTTTAGGTGGTTACCATCTTGGCAAACCTCTCTGTTTTGGAGCAGTCTGCACCTGAAGTCCTGCATGAGAAGGGTACGCAAAAACCTGTTTTAAATTTTTTTAAATTGTAGTCATTTTAGTAATTTTTTATTTTTTATTTTTTTTTAACCAGTTTTTGATGTATGTGAATGAGGCTAACATCACGATTAACATCTCCACACATATGTATTTACTGGTCATGATGGAGAAATTGATTAATATCAAAGGAGGGAGATGACAGAGATGACAATCACACAGGACAGCTACAGAGAAAAAACATGTTATTGCAATTCTGTTATAATCCTCAAGATGGCAACGTAAACCCACATTTCTGCTATGTTGCCTGTTTCTTCAACCCTCTTAGTCTCTGTCCCCTGACTCTTTCTTGTTGATGTTGTGTATTAAGTCCCTGACTCCGTGTTTGTTTTGTCTTTTTTCTCTCGTCCTCTGTCTGTCTGTGTGTTGTTGTCTTCGTCCTCTGTCTGTCTGTGTGTTGTGTCTTCGTCCTCTGTCTGTCTGTGTGTTGTTGTCTACGTCCTCTGTCTGTCTGTGTGTTGTTGTCTTCGTCCTCTGTCTGTCTGTGTGTTGTGTCTACGTCCTCAATCTGTGTGTTGTGTCTACGTCCTCTATCTGTGTGTTGTGTCTACGTCCTCTGTCTGTCTGTATGTTGTGTCTACATCCTCTGTCTGTCTGTGTGTTGTGTCTACGTCCTCTGTCTGTCTGTGTGTTGTGTCTACGTCCTCTGTCTGTCTGTGTGTTGTTGTCTACGTCCTCTGTCTGTCTGTGTGTTGTGTGTCTGCTAGGTGTTGAGAGACTGCTCCAGCTGCTGGGTGAGAAGCCGTCGTCCTCTAGTCCATCGGAGGGCGCCGCGTGCGAGCGGGTCCAGCAGAAAGCCGCTGTCACACTGGCCCGTCTGAGCAGAGACCCGGACGTAGCCCAAACAGCCATCCAGCTGCAAGGTAGAGGCCCTCGCTCTGGGGTTACGTTTTTCATAGGTACAGATCTAGGATCAGTTTCCCCTCCCCAAATCCAAATCTTAACCATTAGTGGGGGAAATGCTAAACTGACCCAAGATCAGTGTCTAGGGGCAACTTCCCCCTACTCCATAGGCCGTCAGCTTCTCTGCTACCTAAGCTTATAGCGTTTAGACCACTTCCTCAGTATCCTGTCTCTTCTGAGTTGCATTCAAGATTTCGACTAGGATGACCTTTCTTTGAAGTATTTTAACGCTGTAAAACGTTATCTTAAACAGCATTTTGGTGTGATGAATGCATGTGTGTCCAACTCTCAGTAGAAGTTCACTCTGGGGTGGAAATCTATTCATATAGGGACTGATTTGACCTGAGGAAATTCTTCCCTTTCAAGCCTTTTTTACTCTCTTAATCACAGTAGTCATAGTAACCACAGGAGGTTGGTGGCACATTAATTGGGGAGGACAGGCTCATAGTAATGGCTGGAACAGAATAAATGGTAGCAAACACATTGTTTCCATCTGTTTGATACCCGAGTAGCGCAGTGGTCAAAGGCACTGCATCGCAGTGCTAGCTGTGCCACTAGAGATCCTGGTTCGTATCCAGGCTCTGTCGTAGCCGGCCGCGACCGGGAGACCCATGGGGCGGCGCACAATTGGCCCAGCATCGTCCAGGGTAGGGGAGGGAATGGCCGGCAGGGATGTAGCTCAGTTGGTAGAGCATGGCGTTTGCAACGCCAGGGTTGTGGGTTCGATTCCCACGGGGGGCCAGTATGAAAAATAAAAATAAATATTTGCACTGGATAAGAGCGTCTGCTAAAATGTAAATTTAACTCCATTCCAGACATTGTTATGAGCCAGCCTCCTATGATAGGAACTTTGTGTAGGTCAATCAACAACACAATTTCCAAACTAACCATTGTCTTCCATTTCTCCAGCTGTCCCTCGACTAATCGAACTGTGTCGCTCACCAGCGGAGAGGAACAACAGCGACTCTGTACTGGTTGCATGTCTGGTAGGTATATTTAAACAAGTGTTTGTATGTGTGAATGTGCATCATATATATTTCCCATACACATGTGCTACACTTTTTCTAGTGCATAAGTGTGTCTAATAACTTAGAATTAATTAATGAGAGGTTTATGTCCATGGGGCAAAGTTGAAAGACACGGCAGTCCTTGCATCTGAACCAGTCTTCTCATCATAAGGAGATCCCACTATGTAATGAAGCAGGGTATGTTTAAACATGCACATATCATACATATTCCTGTTCATCCTTTATCATTCAGACAGCCTGATCTTAATTGACAAGGCCAGATCACGGGCTAGATAAAAGGGCTCTAGGTCTGTGTAAAAGAGTCAGAGGCTTAATTAATACTGCTGGACGGATCTTGCACATAAGGGCTCTCTCCTTCACTTTTTTACACTGCTTGTTGTACTCATGTAAATTTAATAGGATTCTTTTTTATCACTATTGCCAGGGGTTAAATAGAGATTTTGTAGGTGTTGAACCAGCCTTCAAAGAGGGTTGGCTTTCAGAAAACATTTTGTTAACTAATATGTAAATATTTGGCATTTCCCTGCTGGAGTGGAACTGTAGTCTTGTTTCATACCGCCATGCTCCCTCTCAGTTGTAACACAGAATACTGAAGCAGTCATGCACTGCACAGTGTCAGTCAATCCTCAACCCATCAACAAGTAGCTGAAGTACTTATATCTGATAATCAGCAAATCTAGATCTGTAGTCTATATTGATCTATATGTACTGTATAGTGATCAATATTGATTTATTCTGTGCCATGCTACGTCATACGCTACAGTGCAGTCGTTTGAATAGGTGTTGAGTGTCTTCACTGATCCATCCCTCTCCCTGTGCTCTGCAGGCTGCCCTGAGGAGGCTGGCGGCGGGGTGTCCAGACAGCATCGAGGCCGCCGACCATCAGCAGCTGATCAAGCCCAGACTGGTGGACTCTTTCCTGCTGTGCTCCAACATGGAAGAGAGCTTTGTATGAGAAGAGAGCTTTATAGGACGATTCAGAGCGGAAGGGTTGGGTGCACAGACACTGGAGGAGTCTCAGTGACCACTCACTCTGCAGGCTTTTGTTCCAGCCTGAGACTTAAAAGCATACAAGACAAAGGAAGGGTTGCTGAAATCAGTCCCTATATCCCAAAGCACGCATTGAGTGTCTACCCAAGAATCTGAGCATAAATGGAATTGCCGTTAGTAATTACAGAACTGCCATTCTCGAAGTACAAAACAGCGAAATTCGGGGACATGTACATGATGGCAGCATTCACGAAATGGTATCAATTGGTTGTAACTCATCTCATAGCAAAATCTCCTTAGCGTTTTTTTAACATCCACAGTGTACATGTGACCACCATTCATTAATAAAAAATTAATCAGTGGGTGTTGGAAATGTAAAAAGTGACTAATAATGAATCAAGAGCCTTTTAAAAAGTGTTAGGCTCCTAACACTGTCGGTGTTGGAAATTAACAGCTTGTTGGTCAGTTCCTTAGTCATTTTTGGTCAATCAGTTTGTCAAAGATTTCACTTACTATTTTATATTATTTTGTGTCAGCTGCCAATTTAATGGGTTGTTAAAATATTACAAAATGATATTGTGCTCTGTTACTTTCGGATAATAATCTGTTTAATGAGTTGTTGGTGGAACATACAGTATTTTCAAGGTATTTGATTACATTAGCTAATTTTCCTCTCTAGTTCAGGGGACGTAATAAAATAGGTTACTGATTTTAGTGGCTGTTGTGAGCGGAATGCGACTACTAAAGGAGGTTTACCTGGAAACAAAGTGCTTTGAAATCTATAATATTGTATCTGTATTTCTCGCCTTGGATCTCAAACATTGTATTTGCTACAAAGAAACATAAATGGGTTCTAAACCACAATTTCTTGGTGAAACTATAGTTTTTGATTTTTTAAAATAAATTACTATTATAATGTATGGCATGCATATACTGTAATAAAGGGAAGCATATCTTATAATGGAATGTTGTGTTTTTTGTCACTGTCAAGACAAGTATCCATTCAGAAAGGGACCCCAGTGGAACTAGGCTTCACTGCTGTGCTAAATGTGACCAGAGAAAACTGAGCGAAAACAAGAGCATCATGCCACACCAAAGGTAGAACTTGGCTCATCACAGCGAGACCACGTCAGAGGAGATTACTGTTCAATAATCAATGATGCCTTGTGTCCCTTCATAAGGCCTAATGAGGGCCCAAGGTCCGTAGCCATGCTTCTCTCACGAGAGCTGCTACAATGCCTGACATACAGTACATCTCCAAGGAGCAATGCTCCAGTTTCTTCCTTTATCACCAACAAAGATGGTGGGGGATGAACAAAGCCTTTGTCCGAGGCTCAGAGAGAGAGACGGAGTGGGTCCAAAGGTCCACTAGTGGCTTTGAACTATCAGGTCATGGATGCTTCAGAACCATGGGGACATGCACCATTCCTCCACTAGTACAGTATTATGGTAGTGGGGAGAGCTGCACGCTTTGTATTGTCATGTGTTTGATGAAAGTTCTCTCAACCTTTTCCTGTCCTTGGAGAGACAATTGAGGCCTTTCTCTCTGTGTCTGTTGCCTCATTTCACCTTAGGGCACAGGCTCAGCTCCGACTCTTTGCTGTGGCCCAGCGTGGAAACAATCAAGGCTGTGTGTGGTGTCTGCGAGGAGGCATAGGGCTGTGTTCAGAGAGCTTTGTGATGGACTCGGCTCCTGCTCTCTTTGTTGGAACCAAATGAAATATGTAGAGAGTATGAGAGAACAATACACAGAGGAGTCCAGGACACAGAGGAGTCCAGGACACAGAGGAGCTGAAAAAACTGGTTCTGTGATTGGAGCTATTTTTGCCAGGACCACAGCCAAGTATTGTAGCCTACAGGAAGTGAATTTGTGTTTTCTACAGGATATACCACCCCCACCTACCGTCAACCAGTATGAGACTGACATTCAGGGCTCGTTTCAATCCATATTGCGTAAGTTCAGCATTACAGCGTGATTGAAATTTAAAGGCAATGTTCCCGCATTAGCGGAGACTGCATTCACGGTAAACCCTGCAGATGCCAGCTCGATAGGAAATTACCTTTAAATTAATCAGCGATACAGATTGAATAGAGAATTTTCAGTCGAGGTTGAATAGATGCAGTGAGACACTTTCCCAGCAGTCTGCAGCGAATGTCAGGAAACATTTCAACAGGGATGATATAATAGGCACAGAGGGAATCAGAACTCCTAAAACAGCACAATGAGGAACAGAGTCAGAGTTGGAACAGGCCCAGTCAGACTGCAAGGCCAGTGTGTTAAAGCTTAGTGAGGGACTTGACCATATGAAATTAGAGAAGAGAACGGAGCCAACGAAAGTTATGACTTCTTTACTGAGGAAAAATATACTTACTATGACTGTGATATTTGATTGTCTCACCTAGCTATCTTAAGATGAATGCACGGCAGGTAGCCTAGTGGTTAGAGCATTAGGCCAGTAACTGAAAGTTTGCTGTTTCAAATCCCTGAGCCAACAAGGATGTGTCCTTCAGCAAGGCACTTAACCCTAATTGCTCCTATAAGTCGTTCTGGATAAGAGCATCTGCTAAATGGGTTAATTTAACCATCAGTTGAGTTTATATTCACTTTCATGCTGGGTTGACCCAACAGATGTGCATTTTTTAACGTAATCCATAGGTTATTTTAGGGAGGCGTGGCTTATTGGGGGCATGGCTTTCAGCTATGTCTTTTTGGCCACCCGTGAGAGTAAATGTAATTCATGTTCATCATGTTAGGTTTGTATAAAGCAAATAAAAATGTCCCTTCACTATTTTTGCACATAACATCATTATTTAAATATCATGACAAGGTAGTAACTAAACCAACAATGGGATGCACAGCAGAGCTTTTGAAAGCATCTTTATGCTACAAAAGTGTCAGTGCTCAACCTTTACATGTGTCGAGAATACAGCAGAACAGATTAACCAGAATATTTACTCTCATGGGTGGCCCAGAAAAACTCTTCTGATATGGCCCGGTGGATCATAGCTCAATAACCCAACTACAGTAAGTGACACAACTGTGAAAAATAACCCAACATGTGCTCTGTCCATTATTTACCCAGCGCTGGGTTGTTTTTAACCCAGCATTTTGTAGAACAGAGATGGGCAACTGACGGCCCGCGCACCTTTTGAAGGCCTTCGGATTAATTTCCACCCCCCCCCCCCAAAAAAAAAATCAACTTACTGTTGCGAGTTAGAATAGTAAAATACACAAGGTAACATTTCGAAATGTGGTTGTGCATCAGCGGTTTTCCTCTTGTTATGTCAGTCACTGATAGTCAATTAGCCCATGTCAGCCAACATTTTGTAGATTGCTTAGTTAGTTTAGCGGCCAGCCATCTAAACTTGTTATAATGGTCGAATTACCAATCGGGGGGCCCCCATTGATTTTGTTAGTCAGTCTCACTTTTTTCCGGCTGAGGCAGAGATGGATATACTTTTATGCCTGATGCGTTAGGTTAAATACACACAGACCACATAGACCGCATGAGAGAGAAATGTACACAACACAATGACGAGAGAAGGATAGAGACAGTTCGTGAAAGTATGTCTTATCTACTTTGAAGAACTAGTAAAATGATTTTGTCAGATAGCTCTGCAGCATGTTTAGGCAGGCTAGCTAAATAAGATGACTAAAGACAGTACAGTATAGGGAGCCAGACACTGCTACTGCCTGAGCAGAGATTAGATGATGACTTTAAGGAATGAAAAATAATAAAGTAATCAAATAAAAACTAAGTAATATACACAACTGAAATATTTAATTATTTCATAGTAATTTCCTATTTTTTATTGATGTCTATCCAATGCAGACCTGACAGAGACAATGGAATATTTTCAATGTTTTGGCAATTGAATGTTCAGTATTTTTGGCTTTGGAATTTTCATTTAAAAAGGTCAAAAATATTTTTATGTCATTATTTCACAAAGCATTTAATGTAAAAAAAAACAAAATGAAACCGAAATCGAAAAAACGTCCTAATTTTTTCATAATCTATCCGAAACCGAATCAACCTAGAAAAAACGAATCACTCAGCACTACCCCATGGCAGAATGTGTAGAATTGCACGAAATGTTTACACATTCTCCCCGCTGTCAAGAGGGGGGAAACTAAAATGTTTTGCTCGCGAGCAACTGCGGCCTCTCATGATGAGTTCAGATTTTTTGTGGACCCCACCCCCCCATCAAAGTTGCCCATCCCTGTTTTAGAGTGTACCATGTGCACTGTAAAACCGGATAAGTTCTGGCTACTCAAACACGTTTAGAAACGTATAGTTAATAGCTGAAGTGAGCAGTACTACCGTCATATGAGTAATACAAATGCAGTTTTTTTGTAAGGTATACTTAAATTTAAAGCCTCACTAAGCCACGCCTCCAATAATTTCCCAGTGTGCCTTGCCTTTTCGATTGGATTGTAGAGTTACCACCCATGACTCTATTTGTTTGTGACAGAGAAATGGTTGTTGAATACCTTTCTTTGAATATTATCATAATAAGGCCTTATAAAGTTGCCGTAACTCATAGTTTCCAGGCCACATCAGGCCTGCAAGTAGGGTTGCAAAACCTATTCCAGTAGTCTTCCAACAAAGATTTCTGGGAAATGTCCCAGAATTTTACAACCTTAACTGTGAATCAAATTATGCTGGCTTACGAAGTGATATGTACTTCCTATTGGAATCTAGTCAGCATTAGGCTATACGACAGTGGAAATTTGAATTCACCCGCAACCTGCATTCATAATGACTGCCAGGGTTAAGAACAGTGGGAGGAAACTACCTAGGCCGTTTAAACTGAAACAACTATTTTAGTAACAGGTGCAAAAATTCAATGATTGGATTAGTTTAGAAATGTTTTATCTTTGTGTAGCTTAACATTTAAATCAATCAATCACTTAATGTACATGCAAAAACACAGATATTAAAAACAATTCCCCCAAAATCTACCTGCAGTAGAGCACGCTGGGAAAAAAAAGTTAATTTGTAATCATATCTTTTTTAAAATTGAGTTGATGTGACTTCTCATTTAGTTTTGAGACAGTACCACATACACATT